CAGGCCCCGCTCTCAGCCCCGGGAAGCCCTAGGCTTCGTGGCCGCAGGAGTTGGCCACAGACTTAACCCGGTGGGCTCAGGGCAGGAAGGGCCTTGGTGTTGGCGGACGGCCTAGGGACAGCAGACGAAGGGGCCTAGGACCTGCTAGGGCTCGAGGCGAGGACCCCCAAGGGAGTCCCCAGGGAGCCCACAGGACCGCGGCCCTGATTCAGCCACCGCAGTCTCCTGGGATGGATGCGCCCACACAGTACACGGCCACTTTGGCTTCAGGGCACCCGAGAACCCATGGCCATTTGGATGGAGCACTGCGTCAAGCATGGGGGTGGGGGTGGGGGCAATGGCCAACGTGTTGCTGGGCAGAAATGCGAGGACCAGAAGGAGGACTGCGGTTTTGGGGACAGCGAACAGATTCGGTCCCGGGAGGCCCCGGGGCCAGATGATCCCATAGGGCGTGCCCTGACTTCCCAGCCACATCTCCCAGAGCCTGGGGTCTGGGTGGAAGGAGCAGGCTTCAGGGCTGCCCAGGCTGACCCCGGGCCTGCCAGGATGGAAGGGGAGGACTAGAGGGAGGACTACCTGGGCCGCAGTACGTTCAGGCCAGGGAGGAGGCCCCTGTGGAGGAGGAGCCCATGCCTCCTGTCCTGAGGTCCACATCTGGCTGTTAGAGACTGAGGGCCTGTGGTGAGAAGGAGCGGGCCTGGGGTGTAGCGGGCCTGTGTGTGTGTGTGTGAGGGTGGAGGGTGGCGTCGGGGGCAGCGGGGCACAGGTTCGGTTGGGAGTCAGGGTGAGGACCCTGGGGGAGGACTGGCCGTACCCCCTCCACCCCATCTCAGCAAAGAAGCCAGTGCACTGGACTCTGGCCGTGCCCGATCCAGGCAGGGTCGGTCAGCGGTGGCCCAAAGTGGCATGCGTGCTCACTTGTCTCCTGGGCCAGAAGGCGGGAGTCCTCAGGGAGCTGAGGTCTTTGTCCTAGGGGCACCTGACTTCTGTCTCACTTTGGGGACCTGGAAGAAGGGCAGGCCCTGGCAGGAAGAAAGAGGATTAGTGTCCTGGGGGTCTGAGGGCATCCCCACCCCAGGACAGAGGGGCCGGTCCCTACTGCCAGCCCTTTGGGATCTTGCCGGGGGCTGAGGGTGGGGGCTGTAGACGTGGCCGTGGACGAGGACGGGGTGGCCCCTCACCCTCCTCTCGGAGCTCTCAGGGAGGTGAGGACCACTCTGGGAGAGGTCGGGGTCAGGTCATCTGGGGAAGCCCACCTTGGACACACACAGGAGTCCCTGCTCCTGCCGAGAGTCAATGCGGGGGCACCCGAGGGAGGAGTGAGGGACTCCCAACCCACCCCTCGGGACAAGGAAGTGATGGCCCAAGAATCTGTCCAGCCCCTGCCTGGCGGCCCTGGGAACCCTGGGTGGGGCCTGTCAGGCTGAGTCCCTCCTGCTTTCCAGATCCCTCCTCTCAGGATGGGGAGGGCCAGGGCCTGAGAGTCTGGACGCAGGTAGCAGAGGAGGCAGGTGCCCTGGTTCTGCGTCTGGCCCTGATTGTTGGGGGGAGATGAGAAATGAGGGGATGCCTCCCACAGCAGGATCCTCAGGGCCCAGGCCTACCCTGCCGCTTCTGTTGGCCATGGGGAGCCAGACAATCGGTGAGCCAAGTTATTTCTCCTGGCTTTTCCTTCTGATGTCTCCCAGAGATGAGGCTTCGTCACCAGGAGGGTGGCCTCAGGTCAACACAGGGAGTTTTCCCAGGCCTTTCGTGGGGTCAGGGTATAGACGGAGAGGAGCGCCCATCCCAGCACAGATGGAACCCCGAGCTTGGCCATCCCTGGGGTTCCGTGCTGAGCCCTGAGACCTTTGTCAGGTGTGGGCAGATGTGGGCCCCCTCCCTTAACCTTCCGTGGAGTCTCTGGGTTGCGTGGTCTTGCTGTGACCCTTTGACCTGAGTGTGTGGGGGTGGGGCCCAGGCCCTGCCAGGGGAAATAGGAGTCCCCTGAGAGGCCAAGGAGGGGACCACCCAAGTTGGACTGGTGGTGACCTCACAGAGTCCGCCCCAGCCCTCCTTCCCCACTGGGCCCCGGAGGCTGTGCTCTGTGCCTGCACCCTGAAGTGACCCCTCCTTTTGTCCTCCAGGGGCCTCAAGAAGTCAGAGTTGAGGCCTAGGTCTGAGGCAGGAGCCTCTAAGGTCCCAGAGCAGGGGAGGTGCAGGGAAGTGCCGGTGGTCAAAGTGAGGTACTTGCTCTGAGCATGGAGCCAGGGGCTCGCCCATCCCAGCCCAGAGGGGACCCCTCAGCATCCAAGCCCGACGTAGCGCACCGTCAGCTCCGGGACTTCAGGCCTCTCTTGCCTGGGCTGCTCCCTGAGGAGCCGTCCCACACCTTTCTTCAGGTTCTGAGGGACATGCTCTGCAGGATGCTCTGGGTCAGAAGAGAGAGTTGCAGGCCCTGATGGGAATGAGTATGCACACCTTGAGGATGCTGAGGGCATTCCCCATGCAGGCAGGGTGGGCCCCACTCTCCCACTCTTGGCATCCTCAAAGAATAGAAGCAGGGAAGGCTGCAGGTGGCGCACCCACTCCCTCCCGCTCTCAGGGAGGTGAGATTCTGTTCAGAGGGCTGACTTGAGGTCAACAGAGGGAGCCACACCTGGTCAGCAGAGAAAAAAACTTCAAAGATCGGCCAGGACTCAGGAAAAGGACCCTTTGGGAGGATGGAGGGTATGAACGTTTCCCCCGACTTCAAGAGAGAAGGGACCTTATATAGAGTCCAGTTTCCCTGTTCTCAGCCCAGGGAGGCCCTAGCAGGGATGGCTGGATGTGGCACCTCTGCCACATGGTTGGGCCTGGGGGCTCTCAGGAATGTGAGGCCCTTGGCCTGTGGGAAACATCCAGGCGGCAGAGGGAGGATCCCAAGATCACCCAGGTAGCAATATGAGGACCCTGGAGGGGGACTGACCTTACCCCCGCCCCCATCTCAGAAAAGAAAGGACTGCACAGAGTCCAACTCTGCCCTGGTGTCAGCCCTGGAAGGAACAGTCAGCGGTGGCCCTAAGTGGCATGCTCACTTGTCCCATGGGCCGGAAGGTGGGGAGTCCTCGGGGAGCTGAGGTCTTGGTCTGAGGGGCACATGGCTTCTGGCTCAGGTTGGGGGCCGGGAGGAAGGGCAGGCCCTGGCAGGAAGAAAGAGTACCTACTCGGAGATTGAGGGACTCTCCACCCCAGGACAGGGGGGCCGGGCCCCCCTGCCAGCCCTTTGTGATCTTTCTGTGGGTGGGGGCCTGGATGTGGTGTAGTTACCTTTTGGTACCAACTGCAAGATGGAGGGGGCGTTCCCCACGACAGTGAATCTCGTACGCCCACAAAGAGTCCAGGAATTCAGGGCAGCTCTGACACTCTATCCAGAGACAGCAGCAGATTCCACAGAGCAGGTGCTCAGGCCTACAAGAGCGTCCCACCATTCAGTGGTCACTTGGCCAGCCCTGGGTTGTTCTGGATGCTTATGACCAAAAGGCCCTAAAGCAGAGGTTCCCAGGAGCCTGTCCGCCGGTGCCCTGAACGGGCTGGAGCAGCTCACAGAACTCAGGCACACAACTCACTCACTAGACCCCCGGCTGCTTGCAAACGGATGCAGCTCAGGAACAGCCAGACGCGAGCGCTGCGGAGGCCACGGGAGGGCAGGGGTGCGGAGAAGCTTCCATGCCCTCTGAGTGCGCCCCTCCCCCCACATCTCCATGTCACCCACCTGAAAGCTCTCTGAGCCTGTCCCTTTGGGGATTTATGGGGGCTCCCTCACTCACTCGCTACCCCGCTCTGCCCTCTCCTGTGGTCAGTGGGTGGGGGGACTGAGAGTTCCCACCCTCTCACCCCCTGGCTGGTTCTCCTGGCATCCAGCCCCCATCCAAAGGTGCTGCCCAAAGTCACCTCCTGGACATTAACGAAAGACACATTTATCATTCCCCACACTTCGGAAATTCCAAGAGTTTGAGAGCAGAGAGCCAGGAACTGTGGACAGAGAGCAAACCTGTATTTACTTATAAATCACAGGACCCAAGGTGCCTTTTCGGGCCCTTTGGAGCTCTCAGGGAGCCGAGGACCATGCTCTGAGAGGACAGCATCAGGTTATCTGAGGAAGCCCACCTGGGTGACAGACAGGAGTCCCAGGTGAGGACCCCGAGGGAAGAGAGTGGACCCCACTTGCCAGAACAAGGAGGGGACCCCCCAGAAGCCTGGCCTGCCCCTACTGTCGGCCCTGGGAACTGTGGGCGGGGCCAGTCTGGCTGAGCCCCTTCTTCCTTCCAGATCCCTGCTCTCAGGGAGGCAAAGGCCTTGGTCTGAGGGTCTGAGCTCAGGTCAGCGGAGGCAGGATCCTGGGCCCCGGCAGGAGTCAAGGACTCAGCGGCCTCCCCTTCCCAGGAACCTGGGAGGCCCTGGGTAGCTGTGGTCAGATGTGGACACCCTCACTTCCTTCTGTTCGGTCTCAGGGCTGTGTGGTCTTGTTCTGAGACTTTTGCTTCAGGCTAGCAGAGGGGTGGGGCCCAGGCCCTGCCAGGGCAGAGGTGAGTCCCCCGAGTGCGCAGAGTGGGGACCACCCCCCCCCCCGTCCCCGGCAGTGGGGAACCTCACAGAGTCAGACCCAGCCCTCCTTTCTGCCCCGGGGACCCTGGGCTGCACTCCCAGTCTGCACCCTGAGGTGCCCCGTCCTGCCCTCCTCCAGGGGACTCAGGAACTGGGAGGCAAAGGCTTTGGTGTGAGGCAGGAGTCCTAAGGTCACAGGGCAGAGGAGGCCCTTGACCTCCCCCTTGAGTTTCTTAGAGGACAGGCGGCCCACGGGGCGAGACCCCTGTGAGGCCAGAGAGTGCCCACATGGAGACCCGGAGTCACCGTTGTCAGAGCTGCCAACGGTGCCTTCCTCAGCTGAGGCTCCTCACACTCCGTCTCTCTCCCAGGCCCTTGGGTCCCTTCGCCCCCACCTGCCCACACCGGGTGCCTGCTGCCAGACATAAGTCATCATGCCTCTGGGTGAGAGGAATGAGCTCCGGAAGTTTGAGGAAGACATTCAGGACCCCAAAGAGGCCCAGCGCCTGGTAGATGCACAGCTGTATGGGGCTGAGGAGGACGAGGAGGCCCTGTCTCACTCCTCCTCCCCCTCCTCCTCCCCCTCCCCGTCCTCCTCCTCCAGTTTCCCCTCTTTCTTCTCCTCTTGTTCCTCCCCCTCCTCCTCCTCTTCCTCCCCCTCTTCCTCCTCCTCTTCCTCCTCTTATTTTGCCCTGCTGTTCTTTGCTACCCCAGAGGAGGGGTCTGCCGCTGGGTCCCCAAGTCCTCCCCAGAGCCCTCCGAGTGCCTGCCCCTCCCCCAGTGCCGCGGCAGCCACCCCCTGGAGCCTGTCTGAAGATAGCTCCGGCTCATCCAACGAGGAGGGGCCCGGCCCTGGGCTGGAGCCGGGAGTGGCCCAGCCCCTGCTCCAAACTGCACTCCACAGGAAGGCAGTCCACCTGGTGGCCTTCCTGCTCCTCAAGTATCGCACCCAGCAGCCGACCAGCCAGGCAGAGATGCTGGAGATCGTCGGCGAGGATGACCAGGACGCCTTCCCCGTGATCTTGGGCCAAGCCTCCAAGTGCATGCAGCTGGTCTTTGGCGTGGATGTGAAGGAAGTGGACCCCGGCGACCACTCCTACATCCTGGTCCCCGTCCTGGGCCTCACCTGGGATGGGATGCTGAGCGGTGAGCAGGGCATGCCCAAGACCGGCCTCCTGGTGGTGCTCCTGGGGGTGATCCTCCTGGAGGACGACCATGCCCCCGAGGAGGAGGTGTGGGAAGCGCTGGGGGTCATGGGGGTGTATGCCGGCCAGGAGCACGTCATCTATGGGGAGCCCAGGGAGCTCCTCACCAATGTCTTGGTGCAGGAAGGGTACGTGGAGTACCGGCAGGTGCCCGGCAGCGACCCTGCCCGCTCCGAGTTCCTGTGGGGTCCCAGGGCCCACGCCGAGACCAGCAGGTTGCAAATGACGGAGTATTTCCTCCGGCTCGATCTCGGGCAGCCGGCTTCCTCCCTGGCCGTGTCTGAAGGGGCTGTGAGAGATGAGGAAGACGGGGCCTGAGCCCCGGGGTCCGCCAGGCCCTTTCCAGGCTTTGGTGGGGTCGGCAGCTTCTCCTCCAGGGTGCTGGGCATGAAGTGAGGCCGCTTGTTGGTCCTTCCCTGTGAGTGTTTGTGTGTGTGCGTGAAGACAGAGCCCTGGGCGTTTTAAGGAGTGCAGGGCCAGGGAGGGTTGGGGGAAGAAAGCAGGGCAAGGAGCCTCCTGGGGGTGGGGGGGTTGTTCCCTGGGGTGACTCCCACATCCAGGGCTTGGTGTCCTTGAGGAGGCTGTCCTGTGGGGTTCCTTGCCATAGAAGGTTTCATCCGTTTCAGCGGCGGAGCGTGTGAGTGACATCCACCCCGCAGCATTTGTCCGTACCCAGTTCAAGAGTTAAGAGTTTTGTCATGTCCTGGAAACCATTTGGGACCCCTTGCCTCCTTGTTTGGGCTCCGGACCCAAATCACAGGGCACTGGTCTAGCGATGGGTTGAAAAGGCGAAAGAAAGGAGGAGTGAAGTGATGGGGTCAGGAAATAGAGAAATAAAAGGAAAAGTTTGTTGGTTCTTGCTTCTGATGCCTTCCTGACCGTCATTCTGCAAATGCCAAAGGCACACACACGCGTGCTCGTGCATTGGCCCGGTTCTTCCAGAAAGGGGGGCAAACGTCCTCCCAGCACAGAGGGAGCCCTGCTCACTGGCTCCGTGATTCCCAGCCATGGGCTGAGCTCTGCTCTCTGGAAGGCCCTGTGGGTGAGCAGTGAGGACACTAGGAGAAGCAGGACACGTGCCAGCCATAGGGGACCGTGTCTAGCAGCCGCAGTCCCGGCAGGAAGGTGGGGAGGGGTGCCCTGAGACCCGCAGAAGAAGCGGAGGCAGGGTGAGGGGGGTGTGGGTGCCGGGGCGAGCGCTGCAGTGGAAATGCCCTGAGTCCTGGCGGCTGGGCGTGTCTGGTCCCTGTGATTGCTTCTGTGTGGCTGGTCACCGGGAAGCTGGGGTAGGACAGCGGTCCTACTTGGAGAAGGGGTGCCTCGGGTGTCGGAGCATAGTCTGAAATGGATAATTGCTCTGAGAATAGCCATTGGATCCTGGAGAAGACAGAGCACTCTCTTGTGACAGGAAGGAAGGGTGTTTGCTACCTTTCAACTGCATCAGAAAGTTTGAGCAGAAGAAAGAACGTTTTGTTGCCTTTCCAATGTAGGGTCTGTGCGGAAATTGGAATCCTTGTACACTTTTGTGGGAATGTAACCCGATAACAGCTGCTGTGGAAAAGAGTGTGACGGGGCCTCAAAAAAATAAAAAATGGAAATGACTGTAATGAGCCAGCAATCCCAATTCTGAGCGTGCAGTTAAGGACTTGGAAGCTGGGTCTCGAAACTGCTTTGTGTACCCATGTTCACGGCAACAGGATTCCTAATAGGTGAAATGTAGGTATGTTCATGTGATTCATAATGAAGATATACGCTTGGTCATTCAATGACCAAAATGCATTTCTCATATATATTTGGTCTTGGTCCAGAGTCCTGACTCTGAGCTCCCCAAACCCTCTTGTAATTCCAAAGCCTGGAGAGCGATGAAGGTGTCTTTTGTTATGTCCGTGAGGTGACTCTGAGCAGCACCTAGGGAGGGGGCCTGATGGCTAAGTGCACCAGCCAGGGGGTTAGCGGGTGGGACCTTTCAGTTCCCCCACCCCCTGACCACGGGGGAGGGCAGAGGGGCTGGCGATTGAGTGGGGGAGCCTCCATCAAACCCCAAAGGGACAGGCTCAGAGAGCGTTCAGGTGGGTGACGTGGAGGTGTGGGCGGAGGGGCGCACTCAGAGGGCATGCAAGCTTCTCCGCACCCCTGCCCACATCCCGTGGCCCGCGCAGCTCTTGCGTCCGGCTGTTCCTGAGCTGCATCCGTTTGCAAGCAGCCGGGGGTCTTCGGAAGGGAGTTGTGTGCCTGTCTGTGAGCTGCTCCAGCCCGTTCAGGGCACCGGCGGACGGGGTCCTGGGAACCTCTGCTCTAGGGCCTGTTGGTCACAAGCACCCAGAACAGCCCAGGGCTTGGGACGGGCAGGAGTGGGGTGGGCCTCCTGGTAGGACTGGGCCCTTACCCTGTGGACCGTGCTGCTGTCTCCGGGTGGAGAATGGCAGAAGGGAGGTGACCGGTGACCGGTGCCCGCGCCGCCGGAGCCACCCCAGCTGTGTCACACGGCTGTCCGGCTGCTCGCGGGCTCGGCCGTCGGCTGTCCTTCTCGATTGCCGGCCTTGTGGCAGCTCCAGGGGCGGCACCGGAGCGTTCCTCAGGAGGGGGCAATCTTCTAGGCGCGCTTCGGAAACACCAGGATCACAGAGCCCCCCCCGCCCCCCGCCCCGCACGTCCCGGGTGTAGGGCTTGTCTTTCCTCCACGGTTCCAAGATGAGTGTGTCTGTTCAGGAATCAAACTGCATTGTTTCGTCCCCCCCCCCGTTCTCCCCCAGACCCTCTCGTCTGGAGGGCTCCTATGCAAGAGGGTCTAAAGCATTTTCGCAGACCAGCGCTGTCATAGGAGGGAACCAGAAAGACTCATCCGGGTCAAGAGGTGGTCAGGATGACGACATCCTGAATTGCTGGCAGTTTTTGAAACAGGTGTCCATAACCCTTTGCATCCCGCTCGCTTATCACGTGCGGGGCAGAGAAAAGAGCAAGGCCTTCCCGGGCAGGCTGAGTGAATACCCTCACCACCTGGTGGGTGCGGCAGGAGCAGGCCGAGGGGCCCAGGCAAGCAGTCCTTGTTGCAGACTACAACTAGCCAGGCTAGGCCTGCACGATGAGTCCAGGGCACGGGGGCCTGCGTTGGATCTGTGCAGAGCGCACGGAGGCCTCCCGGTCCTGGTGATGGGCCCTCCAGGGACGTGCGGCTTCCGTGGGCATCCCGCGTCAGGAGCGCACTCACTGGTCTGTGTCGGAAATGCCACGCCCCTGGGCGGCTCTGTCTCCCTTGGTCGCAGGAGAGAACAGGCCCTCTATCGTGCACATCTGCAAGGGACCGCGACGGTCCAGGACGGCCCCCAGGATATGCGGACAGATTTGGACCCTCCCCCCCCCCCCCCCCCAGAGGGAGGGTCCCAAACCTGCAAGGATCCCAGAGCTCCAGATCTGTTCGTGGAGCTTTGCCTGATTTCCTTTCAGCACAGCTGGTGCTGAGGCTGAACAGGCCCACCCACAGGGCACGCTTGCAGGTTTGGGCTCAGCGTTCAAGGCAGCCAAGTAGGCTTTGTGAGTTCGGGGTCTAACAAAGTCAGTGGCTTTCCTGCAGAAAGTCGAGACACTGCCAGGCCAGACAGCGGCTGCCCAAGTCCCCGTGACGAGCACATGCTTTCCCAAGCCTTTTTGGCCTTGCCATCGTTCGCGTCCCCCCGAGCTGGGCTAAAAGCCCTGCATGCACCTCGCCTTGGATCAACATCAGCCTCTAAGGGTCAGACCTGTGATTTCCCAAGAGCTCATGAGCAAACTGCAGGGGGCTCCAGGGATTGGGGGCTGATCCAGGAAGAGGACAAGACCAGGACAGGCAGCAACACAAGCGGCTCTCCCGGGTGGCGCCTGAACAGAGTCCCATTACAGGGGCGCCCCCTCACAGCATGAGACTGCCCAGGGGCTTATGGTCAGGGGGGCTCGATGCAGGATGGGAGTGCTACGGTCTCAGGGAGTTCCGCCCCCCCCCCCCCCCCCAGATACATCTGTTGAAATCCTGAGCACCAAACATGATGGCCTTTGGAGGTGGGGCCTTTGGGAGGTGTTTAGGTCAAGAAGGTGGAAGCCTCGTGGATGGGAGTAGCGCCTTGTAAAAGCGGCTCCAGAGAGTTCCCCAGCCCCTTCCACCAGGAGAGGACACAGCGAGAAGGGGGCAGCTGTGAACCAGGAGGGGGGCTCTCACTCCACCTTGCTGGCACCCTGTTGGCACCTTGCACCCCCAGCACCAGGAGAGAGAGCAGCGATGTCCCGTATTCCTAAGCCGCTCAGGCCGTGGCGCTTGGCCACAGCGGCCCCGTGGGCTAACGGACAAAGGCCAGGGAAGGACCTGCTCGGGGCGGGGGCTCAGCTCAGCAGCTCGGGGGACTGGCTTGGGGTCTGCGAACCACAAAGCTCTCGCTTCTGTATTCTTAGCAGACGGGGGCTGAGGCCTGGTGGGGTATGGCAAGCAGGCAGCCTCCAGACGGCCCCGAGTCTGCCGCTTTGAGCTACATGTGAAGCCGTCGTCAACATGAAAGAAAACCTGAGCTGGGTGCCGGGGCCGCCGGGGCCCACGGGGGGCGGTCTGCTGTGAGGAAATCCACCACCTAGGGGCCCGCGCACACAGGGCCCGTTTGGCTCATTTTGGGAACACGGCCTGAACCCTGCTTTTCCAGTCTCTCAACGTCTCTGTCTCTCGGCAGGCTGCCTCTCCCTCCCACGTGGGCCTCCTTTTCCAGGGGCTCCAGTAGGCAGAAAGCACCAGGAGACGGGTTCTGTTTGCAAGCTTCAGAGTTCACAGCAGAGAGAGACGGTGGTGGAGTGACTGTAACGCCCGGGCTCCCGCGGGGAGAAGGTCCCTGAAGGAGACGGGTCTGAGAGACTGCGGAAAGGCAGGCCGCTGGGAACCGGGAGACTCCGGGCCCCCCTAGCCCCGCCGTGTACAGCCAGGGAGGGAGGCTGGCTGGGAAGCAAGCTTGCACGGGGCTCCTTTAGAAAGGCACGGTTTACTCGACGGCCCCGGGCCATGTTTAGCCTCTAAGGACATGCTTCCCATTGTCCCCTGAGCCTCGGACGCTACAGAAATGTGACACCACCAACCAGACCAGGAAGCCTCCTTTGCTGCTTGTCCCCCCAGCGTCCAGGGGTGGGGGGGCTTCACGGCTTCAGGGCAGACCGAAGGGCCTGGCTCCACTTGCTCAGGTGGGACCTGGGCCCCTGACTCCACCTGCCACGGCCTCGGCTGGGCCTTTCCTGATCCCTGCCCGACGGACCGTGGTCCCGCGTGAGTGGCCCAGACCCCAGGGAGTGCTCAGCACGGCCACGGTGAGGCA